AGAAATATTTTCATTTAATGGGTATGTACTGAGTCGCTTAGCATAGTTTAATTTATTTGTTGCTGTTATGGGTATTTTTTGCTTATTTTTTGGTTTATTTGAAATGTTGTCGACATCAACACAACATCAGCTCATGCGACACGCCAATGAGGGGGCGGGGTCGATCAGCCATGCGACGCCTCAGCCTTAGTCTGGCTGACAATATTGTTGTTGTTGTAGTTATTTTATTAATTTTTTTTTTTTTTGAGTTGCTGATAAGATGTCATGTCCACGCGTCGCCTCAAATTGCGCTGTGGTTAGGTCCACAAAAAAAAAAATAATAATAATAATAATAAATAATATATACAAAGTAAAAAAAAACCTGAGAAAATGCAATTTGATGATAGCGCTTGACCTTTTTGCTGTCTGTGTCTGTGTGTGTCATGCTATAGTATGGCAGAAAGTGCTATGATCCGTAGTGCCAGATGGCGCCAGCTATATGTATATAAGGCCGGCCTCTAGCCAATTCGTTTGGTTATAACCTCAACAGCGCGTCAAGTAACCAGAGAGCCGTTACTTGAGCCACTGTAAAGCAACGTCGGTGGCTGGCGGTGCTGCCCCCTAATGCCACCGTGACGAGTGTCAATGGAACGTGCGCCAATGTGGTTCACTTGAGAGCCGAATCGAGTCGAGTTGCGCCGAGCCGAGCCTACCCGCCCCGCCCCACTGCGCCCGCCGGCTCCCTACCTCTCTTGGCATTCACATGAGCTCAGGGCTGGAGCGTATTTCAAGGGGCTGGCTGGGTCATTCAGCAACGCATTCTTTACTACATAGGTATCACTATAGACTACAGTGGAAGACGCAATTGGCGAACAATTGAATGAATGTTCTAGTAACAATGTATACACATAACTATGTGCGCTTTAATCTCGGGCTTTCCACCTTGGCTGTTGCCTTTAGCTAGCTTTCACTGTATATGCTATGCTCTGGTTGTATGTATTGATTTCCATTTAAATTGCGCTTCATTCATTCATTGCAGCTCTTCATTGTTTTATCAATTTACAATTTTAGCACACACTTACACACATACACGCAGACACAGACACACACAGTCTGGCAGCAGTTAGGTCGGTCGTACGACGAATAAAGAGAAAAGACTACCACATCATATTTAGTAGCAATCGGTTGAAACTGGAAACTTAACTCATCTCATCTCAGCGTGTAGTTCTCTCAGTCTCGTTGTGTACGTATGTGTGTGTGTGTGTGCGATGGGCGTGTGTGTGCATTCTACAAACGATTCGTGCGACGCAAATCTAACACAAATGCCAGAGCGGCAGATAGATGCTCATAATGATGATGTTTGATGACGACGTTCGCCAGTTAAAAAGCATAGAAGAATGTCGACTAAATAGTCGGTCAGATCACTTGAGCTGTCAGGGATTCGCCATATACACACGCATCTAAATACACACACATATAAATACATATGCTTAAATATGTGGCTGAGGCCAGCATGAGCTAGCCTTAAGCCCAGCTTAGTTAATCAAATCCGGACTTAGCGAAACTTGTCACGTGTAATTAGCAAGAATTGTCGTCAATTTGCATAAAATAATGAAGTGTGAAGCCAGACTAAACTGTTAATTGCACTGTTTACCCAATTTCGACTTTAAGATATTAAACTGCATCATTAGTTTAAGAGATACAGCACGAGATACCGGCGTGATATGGAGTGTACACTGAAAAAATATTGCAAAAAATTAATAAATAAACAATATTGATGGAGTCTCAGCCCAGCATGGCTATAGCTAGAGCGTAGAATTTTGTATAACGTATAATTATAATAATTTTTTTTCTTAAATCCCAATTCGTCGACTTATAATATTAATTTTCTAGATTCTGAAATTCAGTAGATATTTATATTATACGGAAATGAGAAGCTTTTCCCTTTAAACTCAATTCCAAGTCGATCATATTGATATTTAAATTGAATTCATAGCACTTCTAAAAATTTGCAATGGGGTGTATCTCAATGGGAACCCTATTCTAGTTTCGTCTAGGTATTGTTTTACTATTCGATTGCGCACTTACCGATGCAAATGCGGTTCAGATAATAGGAAATATATATATATATATACGTGGACTTTACAATGTTCAATGTTCGCGTGTGGGGCAATTCCTATATGAAATACAATACTCAAAGTACAAATATTAAGAGTACTGCAATCTGTTCAGCATATATATGTATATATGGGTGTACTGTGACGTCAGCTATGGCCCAGGAGTGTATTTATAAAAATACCTACAAAATTTTCTGCGCGTATATGTGGGGTTAACAATGAATACATCTGCTATATATAAACATGATTTGGTGTGAGCTGTGCGCTCCCTCCCACTACATAATGGATCTATTGTATCATATATAATGCCGAGAATTGACTTTTTAACATATTAAATAAGTATCACATGACTACTTTAAAGCATTATTCAGATCGCATCTATTCGGAAGAGTTTTCTAGAAATATGATGCAAAACCTTTCCAGAATTTCAAATATATAGCTGATTAAACTTACATCAAAACTGAATTAAAAACTATCATCTGAGCAAAGGAATTGTTATTTTCTTATCAATTCGTATAGTTATTTTTGTCGCTGTTTCTTAGTATAGCCGAGATAAAGGCATAATTGGTTTCGGCACTGTACAAAGAGTTCGTATAACTCTTCTCTGAATACTAAATAGCTTACTCAGGGAAGTTTGTATTGTGTTTAGCGGTAAATGCCAGCTGACATGCCCCCACATTATCGCCAATCCATAAACGATCGATTACGATAAGGCCTTGGCCTATGTAATTTATCAATATCTAATAAGATTGCAATTTTTATGGCTAGTGCTTTCGAAATATGTTCGCTATTGTAAATATAATTATATTTATTGCTTTTACAACTGTATTGGTTCTTTGAATTTTACTCTAAGTATGGGTTGTTGTTTTTTTTTTTTTTTTTTACCAGCATCAAGGTATTGCGGAAACATAGCTGAGTTTTACAAGTTGTGTCTGTGCTCCGTTGTTGAGGCTGACGTGGCTTTCATGGTTGTTGGCTGTTGCCCTAAACGTGTTTGCAGTAAACCAATATTTTTACATAAGCAGACGAACCGCTCTTAGGTTGGCTAACAGACTGTTAATTAACTGTACTGTTCACTATGTAGCCGCTGTATTGTAACAGCCTAACAGCTATTAGTCTCTTCTATGTTAACGTTATGTTAATGCGCCATAACCTTTTTTCCTGTATATTTGAAAACTAGTTCTTCTAGTTTAAACTGACTTGAATTGTCTATTCCATTTTTCCCATTCTTACACAATTACTTATTTTATGTAGATCATTTTATCCATGAGAGCATGCAAATTTCTACAGAACAACTAATGCGAAAATTCTAAGTACAGCGGTTGATCATAGTTCAAGGTTGTGGAATTTTCACTTCAAGCACGCCCTCCCGCTCGATCGGTCATATATAATTCGCGCACTTCTAATTGCCATTGTCAACAGCAGCGCTCGCAGTGAATTTCCCATGCTTCTATCAGCTCGTGAATTAATAGCTAATTTTTTATTTCCCCCTTTATACACTTTTTTTCGGTTTTCTACTTCCTTCAATTTGAAATCGTCTAGATTTGTGCATATATATTGAGTCGTAATACACTTAAACTAACTACACTTAGTTATATTTTTTCCTCCATTAATTAAGTAAATAATTGCTGGAACTTTTGTTTGCTCACGTCCAACAATGAGGGAAGCCCGCAAAATATTTTAATACACACAGACACACACACACACACTTACCATAGAGAATATAAAATATAAACTCGTTTAGATTTGCGTTGAAATCATTAGCATTTGATTGGAGCCCCATTAATTTGGAATTTCTCAGTTGAGTATTAATAACTAAAATATATGCGTATTTTAGAGTTCCTCGTAATTTGTGAATCATTCATTCATCACTGATCAAAACAAACTGCATCTGTATCTGTAAATGTAAATGTATCTGTATCTGTCTGTATCTGTATCTGTATCTGTATCTGCATCTGTGTCTTCTATATGCATTGCATATACATATTTATTTTTGGGGGTGTACTGTTATTGTCTTTGCTTTTCCTGCTTCTTTTTTCGGTTTTTGCGCATTGACGTCAACATTTTTGTTTTGCGGGGGCACATCTGATCGCAGCTTTTAACCATACTGTGTCACACCACCCCATACAATACATCATACAGATCCATCCATTCAATGCATATGTATTTATTTATTTACACAAATCGCATAACAATTGACAGCCACTTGCAAGGAGCAGCTTTGTTTGCATAGCTGCGTCTCGAAGAAAAAAAAATAATAATAATAATAATGAAAAAACAAAACGAAGTGCCTCAACTGACTGCAGACTTAAAGAGGAAGCGCATGTCTTCAAGCAGCACTTGTTCGTCTACGCGTATATCGTAACATCAGATAGTATCTGTTACCATTTAGCGTGTGCGCATATCTACAAACTTTGACGAGGGCTGCTTGAAGCGTATGCATGTGCAGCAATGCAAGTGGGAAGAGGAAAATGGGTTAAATAAGTTGGCGAAGAACTGATATATGTATGTGATGGAAGTGGAATAGAGATGAGATACTCTTGAGAAGTAGAGCTAGTTTACAGATGTATATGTTTAACAACAATTTTTTGTACTTATGAAAGTGAAATATGCGTTGAAAAGCCTCTAGAGATAAGATTTGATGGATTTTTATATACATATATGAAATGTTCTTGAGAAAACCAGGCAGCCTTTATAAATATTTAAAGAGTAGATGTGGTATGTAAAGAGTATGAAAGTGGAATAAGGTTGAAATATTTATGTGTATAAGTTGTAGGCTTTAAAATCGATTTGTTTACAAAGTTGCTCTGCGCTAAATATCATATCTATCATATGTATGTCCAAAATGATATTCAGTCATTTCATTAATGCCACGAGCGACTAATGACAGCTGAATAGCTATGCAATTTAATGATAAAAGTAATTAGAGAACTTTCTAGCAGTTTATGATAATTATATAAATTTAGAAATATCAGTTCGATAATTATTCTATATATAACGTATATAGAAAATTTCATGAATGAATAATCTTTTATTTTTGGAAATAAACATTTGATGCCTATTATTTCCAAGAAAC